TTCCAGCTGCCAGTATTTGCATCTCTTTGCATAAGATCCTGCTTTGTCTGGCAGAACCCACCCTGCTCACTATGCCTGCTTATGCAATAACTGGGAAGTGAAATTAATGCTGCCCAGGAACAGCCCTCCATCACAGAGTGATAGAAGTTGGTCCAAAAATACCTTTGGCTTCCTTTTCCCTTCGATAGGATAACTGTGAAATGTGTTTTACACCATTTCTCAGAGTTCCCTGGAAGGAGTAATTTCCAATTACTCATAGAGAAGACTTCCTTGATAAAGCATGCAGCTTCTTTCCTGTCTCGCTTCCTCACTCCCCTAACAATGTTTCTTGGGATCATCTCCAAATAAACTACTTACACTCAGCAGGATTGGTGTGCATATGGGTATTTTTCTCCCATTATATTGTCTGAAACTTTGTGAACCATTTTAATTTGTATATACAGATTTCTAACTATCTCTAAGAGTTTTCCTCTATTAAACATTTTATTATTATTTCTGCTCCAGTTGTTCTGATCTCATTTACAGAATATCTGTAACTTTGGCATAAGTTATCTATCCTGTATTTCTATTATTTTTGGTCTAATTATTTCTAACATTCAATAATTTTTCTCCCTGCATTTAAAGAGAGGTTGCTTGTCTTTCATGTAATCGATTCAATTTCCTGGTGTCATTTTTCTTTTCACAACTTGCAACGCAGAATTTTGCTTTCAGTTCTTTCCAGTTGTACTCTTTTCATCACAAAAGAAACTCTTATTTCTACCTACTCTTTAGGCATATCTGCTCCTGTTACCTAGAGATCATGACATTTAGCATCATATTAAGGTTAAAAGTTATTTTCTCAGAACTATTATTTTTTTACTTAATTTATTTTTAATATTTAAAAATTTTTCATTTATAGTTGACAATGTTATTAGTTTCAGGTGTACAATGTTTATATAACTTAGATGTTTATATAACTTATGAAGTGACCACCCCAATAAATCCAGTACCTATCTGACACCATACGTAATTATTACAATACTACTGTGTATATTCCTCATGGTATGCTCTATATCTCCATGACTATTTTGTCACCACCCATTTGTACCTCTTAATCACCTCCCCGCTTCACCTATTCTTTCAACACTCCCCATCTAGCCACAATCAAAATGCACTCTGTGAGCTTCTTTTTATTTTCTTTGTTTGTGTATCCCGTTCTCTAGTTTCCACATATAAGTTAAATCATAAGACATTTGTCTTTCTCTGACTTATTCCACTTAGCACAATACCTTCTAGGTCCATCCATGTTGTTGCAGATGGCAAGATTTCATTCTTTTTTATGGCTGAATAGTATTCCATTGTATATATGTTTCACCTCATTTTTATCCATTGATGGACACCGAGGTTGCTTCTATATTTTGGTTATTGTAAATAATACTACAATGAACATATGGATGCACATGGCTATCTTTGGATAAATACGCAGAAATGAAATTGCTGGGTTTTTCCTTGTCTCTAATTACAGTCTTTGTTTTAAAGCCTATTTTGTCTGATATAAGTATTGCTACCCAAGCTTGTTTTTCCATTTTCACTTTCATGAAATATCTTTTTCCATTCCTTCACTTTCAGTCTTTATGTTGCTTTCGCTTTGATGTAAGTATCTTGTAGGCAGTATATGTAAGGGCCTTTTTTTTTATGCATTCAGCCACCCTGTCTTTTGATTGGAGCATTTAATCTATTTATATTTGAAGTAACTGTTGATAAGTAGGTAGTTATTGCTATTTTATTATTCATATTTTTAAACTTTTTTTGTTCTTCTTAAAGAAGTTCCGCTAACATTTCTCATAATGCTGGTTTGGTGGTGATGAACTCTTTTAACTTTTTCTTGTCTGGGAAGCTCTTTTTCTGTCCTTCAGTTCTAAATGATAGCTTTGTTGGGTAGAATAATCTTGGCTGTAGGTTCTTGCTTTTCATCACTTTGAATATTTATACCCATCCCTTCTGGTCTGCAAAGTTTCTGTTGAGAAATCAGCTTATAGTCTTAGGGGAGCTCCCTTGTAGGTAGCTACTTGCTTTTTCTCTTATTGCTTTTAAGATACTCTCTTTGACTTTGACATTTTAATTATGATGTGTCTTGGTGTAGGCTTCTTTGGGTTTATCTTGTTTGGGACTCTGTGCTTTCTGGCTTATATGTCTATTTTCTTTGCCAGGTTAGGGAAGTTTTCCATCATTATTTCTCGAAATAGGATTTTAATTTCTTGCTTTCTCTCTTTTTTTTTCCTGGTACCCTTATGATGCAAATGTTGATAAGCTTGATATTATCCCAGAAGCCCCTTAAGCTATTATCATTTTGGGGGGATTCTTTTTTTTTTCTTGTTGCTGTTCTCTTTGGATGTTTTCTGCTACCTTGTCTTTTAAATCACTAATTCGATCCCCTGCTTCATCTATCCACTATTGATTCCCTGTAATGTATTCTTTATTTCAGTTATTCTTCATTTTTGACTGATTCTTTTTTTATGTTTTCTATCTCCATTTTAATGTTTCTATCTCTTTGTTGAAGTTCTCACTGAGATCATCAAGCATCCTTACAAACAGTATTTTGAACTCTGCATTTGGCAGATTGCTTGTCGCTATTTTGTTTAGTTCTTTTTCTGGAGCTTTGTCTTTCCATATTGACCACCTTCCTGTGTTTGTTTTTATGTATTAGGTAGAGCTGCTATGTCTTTTGGTCTTAGCAGAGTGGCGTTATGTAGTTGGTGTACTGTGGGGCCCAGTGGCACAGTCTCCCTGACCACCTGAGCCAGGTGCTCCAGGTGCGTCTCTTTTGTGGGTTGTGTGTGCCCTCCTGCTGTAATTGAGCCTTGGTTGCTGATTGCACATCAGTAAGAAGGATTGAGCCTCATGCTGATTGGTCATGAGGATCGGCCATGGCTATAGTGAAGGAGATGTTGTGAGGGAGCTAACTCTAGGGAGCAAGATTCACCTTTTCAGGACTCTGGTGCCTGCAGTCTGCCCTTTGGGTGTTTCTTTTGTTGAGATAAATGTATGGTACTCTGATGTGGTCTGAGTACTGAGTACTGAGTACTGAGTACTGAAGCTGGCCACCAAGTGTGTTAGTTCTGGGGCCTCTTGGGGAGGGCTCTGGTGCAGGCCAAGTTCAGCTGCTGCCTGTGACCTTCTTGGAGCCACTTCGTATGAACTGCAAATTTATCTGCAGATGGTTGCCACTTGTGTTGGGCTTGGAGGTGACTGGAAGAGGCTAAGCTGTAAACTGAGGCTGACTGCCACTAGTGCCAGGCTTGGTGCTGCTTAACAAGATGTACAGGGCATACCAAGGCCAAATGCTACATGTTTGGGGTTTGAGAACCTTTATGGATTTTAGGAAAGTTCACAAGCCATTTGTATGGAAAAGCCACTGGAAGTGGCTTGGGTGGGCCCGCAAGTTGAGTTGACAGGGGTCTCAGGGAATCACCAGGGTGGAGCAAATGGTTTTAGCCAGGTTGATAGAGACTTAGATATGGCATCTGCTTGCCTCTGCACACTGGGTTAGAGGGGAGGGCTTAACAAAGAAACAATAGCTTCTGCCAGCACTTCTGTCTAGGAAAAAGCTGCCCCTCTAGCCCTCACCCTGAAGTCAGGCAATTCATTTCCTCCCAGTATGCCCCTGACACCTTTTGAGCTGTTGCCCCAACACTAGAGCTCAGAGAGAGTGAGTCTATCAGCAAGTAAGTTTGTGCATGGGCCTTTTCATTGGAACACCTGGGTCTCCAGCAGCCCTCCATCTCACTCAGCCACCATCTCCACTGGTTTTCACAGCCAGTTTTGGAGAATTCTCTCCCTGGCACTGGAGCCTTGGGCTGGGGAGCCTGGTGTGTGACTGCAACCCCTTGCTCCTCAATGGGGACCTCAGCCACCAAGATATCTCTCCTGACTTTTAATTGCCACACATGGGTGTGGGACCACCTTGTTCTGTGTCTCTGCCCATCCTACAAGTTTAGAGATGGCTTCTGTATATATATATGGCTTCTTAGTTATAGGACTTATTTCAGCTAGACTTCAAGTGATTCCCAGTGATGATTGTTCTGTAGTTTAGTTGTAATTTTGATGTGGTTGTCAGAGGAGGCAAGCACAGAATTTACCCATTCCATCCTCTTGACCAAAACTCTCTCAAAACTTTTTAGAACTTTTTAGGGTTCTCTTATAAACTCCCTTCATCTATAATAATATTTTCCGGTATCTCATACAGTTTTTCTTTACAGCTATAAGAGAATTCTATCCTGAGTATGCAGCACATGATGGTTTGTGAATTGACATTTTCCCTCTCTTTCTGTCTTAATACTGGTGAAATCCCTTTTAATTTCTACAGTTGAATAGCTTAAATGTAGGCACAGCTCTTAGTTTTATTTTCAGATGTGGGCTTTTATCTGCTATGGCCTACCTGGCCTGAGGTAAAAACGTAGGACTATGTTGTTTGGCTCTTTGATATTCAAATTATATGGAGTACATGAACATAATTCTCATGTGTATGTATATGCATGTACATATATATATTTCCTGTCTTATTCAAGAAGTGATTTATGACAACTCTATCCTGATTATGCACTCTAGCAAATCTCTCTCTGTGTCAGTCCTATTTATAGTACTTTAGTATCACACATTTCAGTATAAAATGTGCCTCTTTAGGCATCCTTTTTCTACATAGTTTTTTTTCCCCCACATTTCTTTCTTTTTATCCCCTGAAAGTTGCAATTTCTAAATCAGTACAGGTACAGGTTAACATATAGGCTCTTTGATGTACCCAGTGGCAGCCATACAGAGGTAGTATTTTCTGCCGAGTTTTCAGATTTCTTTTTTTTTCCCTGTGTTTATTACAAACTGTTTAATTGCTTCTTATCCCAATAACTTTACAAATATAGAACCACATGCCAGTCTGGGGGTGATCTGCAGTAAATCAGTACAAACTAGCCTAGGCACAGCTTAATGCTGCTGAGATTCATCTAGAAGCAGTCCTAGCAGTGGTCTCACCCATCTGGGTAAGAGAGCCTTGGAGGACGGCTGTCAAGTGTAGCCAAGAAACCTGGCTCAGGTCTGTGAAGGTGCTTCAGGTCTGTGAAGGTGTGATGCACAGTCTCTGTCTGTTGTATCTCTATGTACTTTCTCATCTTCTCAACCATACAGGAGGGTAGGACAAAGGATTTCAGTTCTTCTACTTCAGGTTCGGGCATCCTCTGTAGTCATCACTGGCAGCGAGGTCCCAGATGTCCTCCTCGATGAGGAGGTAGGTCATCTTCCCCCGTTGGCTGCGTCTGATGCTGCTCAGCCAGCCCGTGTTTGTCCAGGGGGTCAGCTGCATACTTAAAGAGGTGTGGGTGCTGGACGTAGATTCCCCTCTGGTGCCCCCCCATCCCCAGGGCCTTGTTGGCTCGAGATCCCAACACAAAGGTGGTAGATTCATTCAGCTGAGATGAATGAATAATATTTACAACACGAGGCCCATTTGGGGCCTTCTCCACGAATTGATTCACAGGATTTTGGTTTCCATACCATGCCAGTGGCTGCCCGGTCATTTAATAGGATGTGTCCAGGAGGCCGTCCCTTCCTCTTTTTGGGAATGGGGCTTCCTCGATGGGCACATTCTTCCTCTGCCTGTCCACCACACTTTATGCCTGGAAGCTCATGGGTCAATCTGGGTATAATTGTTTCTCCATCTGAAAACAGTAGTTTAGCCTGCTCCAGGCAGCTCCCACAGGCCTCCTGGATCAGCTGCTCTGCATCCGCCTCTTCCCCAACGTTGTCTCGCACATTCAGTGCTGCCTTCTGGAAGAACTTCATTTTCTTGTTGAAGACAGTCTGGATCTCTTCATTGATGCTAGGCTGCAGGACAGCTTGAAGGAAGTCCATGGAGGTGGAAGGATATGTGAAACTTGTCATCTGCAAGCGGCGGCCCCTTCGCTGCACCTGCTGGGGCTTTACCGTTATGTTCCAAGGTTTCGTGAGAACCAGCTGCCCCGCTGCGCCCGCGTCTCCGAGTTCGGGGCTACCCCATTCTGCTTTACCAGGTCCCCACAGCTGCTCAGCGTCACCAGTGGCCCCCATGGAGCCCCGACTTTTACAGCTTCAGTCCGACTCTGCCACGGGCTGGAAAGTGGCCACTTGACGTCATTAGAGCACTCCAGCCTGTTTTCTGATTTCTTAATCAGGAGTCAGACAAATGTACATTCTAGCTACTCTCTGTTGGCATAATAAAATGGTGAATGGACAATTATAACTTTTATTTCAGTGTGTTACCCTTTATGATAGAAATTATATGTATATTTTTGAAATATTGTATTATTATGATATTATGCTTTTTAAAATCTTCTCCCATGTCTATATTTTTTAATTAGAAATTTTATTATATTGCGTTAGGGGATGCCAACCCTAACTGGAAGTTAAAAAATTTATAGGAAGAATAGTGGTGAACTGGAGTAAGAAAAAAAATGAGTTCAAATTCTGACTCCATCACTCAACATCTCTGAGAATAAAAGCAAATTCAGTTCTCTGAGCCTCATTTTCCTTATGGGCAATGAGAATAATAATATTTACCACACAATGCTGTTGAGAGGGTGAAATGAGACAGTGTCTTATAAAGTGCTTAGACAGTACTTGGTAAGCATGCTGGTAAGCATGCTGCCATTCCGAACTGAATCTGTCTGCTAGTGTGATGACTTCTCCTGGATGGCATCAAGGTACCTCAAAGCTAACCTATTCCAAACCAAATTTGTTATCAACTTCCCCATTTACAACCTATTTTTCTTCCAGACTTCCCTTCTATGTGCATATTAGGAAAAAAAATATTAGCGATCTATTACATTTTGTCTAAACTCTCCTATCAATGTTATTGTCAAACTGCAAAAGGGATATAAAATGTCGTTCAAAATGTGTGATCCCTCTGAAGCTTCATTTTCCTATCTGTAAAAAGAACATGGGAGTAGGGGCAAGTCCAGATGTTTTTTGAGGACCTTCCAACCTTAAAATATCTGTGGTTTTAAATAAAAATGAGGTGTTCTTAAAGATTACTGCTTGAAGTTTCTGTGCGTGAAGAGAGGAGAAGGGGAATAAATCCAGCAGGTCAGTTATACCCTCAGAAATATCCTAGAAAATCGTTCTGATTCTTTGAATTTTGTTTTTACTGAATCATTTATTTGATACTGGATCACATGCGGCATTATGTTGTTAAGATTTTCACATGTGAAAACCCTTGTTCATAATTAGATTTTAAGTTCCCTGATCTATAAGACCCTGACTTCTGTTTTTTTTTCATTTTTGCCAGCAGTCATATTACCATAGGAAGCTCTCAGTATTTGTCAAATTAATAAATAACTAAATTTATAGAATTAATCATCCTTGCAGGCAGGGATGTATCTTAAATTTTTTTTATTGTACGAGTCATTTGTAAATATATGTTTTTGTTTATAGTAAAATACCTGGAAGCAGAAGTGCTAGATCATTAAATTTGTTCAGTAAGTAATTGCTAAAACTTTTTCCAAAGTGGTTGTACCATCTACATTTCCACCAAAAATATACAAGTTCCAGTTGCTCTATAGCCTCCACATTTGATGTTGTCAGTCTTTTAATTTTTATACACTGTAATGTACAGTGGTATCTCAATGTCATATGGTTTAAGTCTTCTGCTCGTTGTTATTGAATTGTCTCATTACTGAATTGTGAGAGTTTTTTATATATTCTTGGTATAAATCCTTTATGAAATATGTTTATTAATATTTTCTTCCAACCTGAAGCTAGTCTATTTATGTTCTCAATAGTGTCTTTTGATGAGCAGAAGTTTTAAATTTTAAAAAAAATTATGATTATTGCTTTTTGTGTAAGATATTTCTGCTTAATGAACATTTTCTTTTAAAATGTTCATTAACATTTTAGGTGATGAAAGTTTTCTTCTAAAAGCTTTACAAATTTAGTTTTTATGCTTAGGTCAATGGCCCAATATGGATCATTAATATTTATGTATGGTGTGAGGTTTGTTATGGGTTAATTTTCATT